GTAATTTGTCACTTGGGAAACGTTGGACCGCTTTCCTCAGTAGGGCGGGCGCATTGTATATCAGACATATTTAGTTTCCCGAGCTGCAGGATGTAGAGTTCCTTTGAAGTTATATTTGAAACTATTGATGTTGTACTGATCATTATTTAGACTCTACGATTCAACACCGGTCGGTGAGACCTAATATTGCACTAACAGAGAATAGTATCAAACATTTTTATCAAATTGAGCTGTTAACACAGTATTGTTCTACCAACTTGAAACATAAAATTAAAAACGCAACGATTTTTGTTTCCGGCTAAAAACGTTAATGCAAATATTGCGTGTAAAACTGTGGTATAAATCAATTTCTCGGATTGTTCGCTTCTTAACAAATACTTCGTTATCGAGTTATGGATTAGCTGTATTGAAAATGTGGTTATTCCATTTTCACAAAACTGTAAAACATTAACATCAATTCACCCAAAGTAGAAAAACAAAACTTATAAGCCGTACGTATAATTTCTCCAATCATTATTTGTTTTATTTGTAGGCGGAATGATCTTAACAACAGATGGCGCGTTACTTTAAACGTCAGACAACGAATCGAACGAGTAATGATAAAAACAGTCCTATGGCGAAAATACGTCAGTTTGTTCCGACAATATTTCATTACAGAGCAGCCCTTAAAATCACAAATTCGCAAAACTAATGTAGAAAACAATTAACAATACAGTAACGCACTGACCTGGCAGGAAACAAGTTTCTAGCTATACTAAAACTGACTTTAAGTAGTAAACGAGTCTTGTTTCTAGATATAACCGACTTTAAGTAGTAAACGAGTCTTGTTTCTAGCTATACTAAAATCGACTTTAAGTAGTAAACGAGTCTTGTTTCTAGCTATACTAAAACCGACTTTAAGTAGTAAACGAGTCTTGTTTCTAGCTATACTAAAATCGACTTTAAGTAGTAAACGAGTCTTGTTTCTAGTTATAACCGACTTTAAGTAGTAAACGAGTCTTGTTTCTAGCTATACTAAAATCGACTTTAAGTAGTAAACGAGTCTTGTTTCTAGATATAACTGACTTTAAGTAGTAAACGAGTCTTGTTTCTAGATATAAATGACTTTAAGTAGTAAACGAGTCTTGTTTCTAGATATAACTGACTTTAAGTAGTAAACGAATCTTGTTTCTAGATATAACTGATTTTAAGTAGTAAACGAGTCTTGTTTCTAGATATAACTGACTTTAAGTAGTAAACGAGTCTTGTTTCTAGATATAACCGACTTTAAGTAGTAAACGAGTCTTGTTTCTAGATATAACTGACTTTAAGTAGTAAACGAGTCTTGTTTCTAGATATAACCGACTTTAAGTAGTAAACGAGTCTTGTTTCTAGATATAACTGACTTTAAGTAGTAAACGAATCTTGTTTCTAGATATAACTGATTTTAAGTAGTAAACGAGTCTTGTTTCTAGATATAACCGACTTTAAGTAGTAAACGAGTCTTGTTTCTAGATATAACTGACTTTAAGTAGTAAACGAGTCTTGTTTCTAGATATAACTGATTTTAAGTAGTAAACGAGTCGTGTAACAAGCTAAACCAATAACTGTTTAAAAGATACAAAGAAAAAATCTTACAAATCCCTACCGTACCCAATAAAACAGGTGATGATGAATGACTGCTGAGGCAATGTTAATCCACAAAACCAATGTTATTTTAATTACGGCTAAAATCTTACTAATAACCGCCAGTGAGAAACCCAGCAATTTAGACCAGTTATTACAAATGTTTTGGGCGTTTGTTACACGTGGTGATAAATTGTGGTTCACTGGTCTTTGTTCCTCGGCAGTGTAGTCATAACCTATCATCACCACCGAGGTAATGGGTCGTGAACAAGTCTGTCTGAGCACATATAATTTCCATTGTCATTTGATTAAGCTTCAATTTTATTTACATTTGTTTACAGGAAAAAAATTATTATAAACGATTTGTGGTACTCTGACGATAAAATATGAACAGGTCAGCTGTTTGGTATTTGTACTTACCGGATTGATATAAAAACTGAAATCCGAGAAAATCTTTCTGGTAGACTGCATACAATATTAGACACGTCATATTGCACTATAAATGTCTATTACGTTTATTTGGTATTTTTGTAGGAGCAAAAAAGGTGCGAAAACGACACACATTGCTCACACTGTGAAGCATTTTATGCCAGAATAGCTGATGACATGACAACAAATGTGTAATTTTGATATGCGTCTGGTTGTGTTGTCTAAGGATCACTTAAACTAAAGTGGGACATCAGAAAGCCTTGCAAAGTATAATATAAAGAATGGTTTACTGTTACTTGAGGCCACGCTGAATAATCAGTATTATTTTTGTTCTTTGATTACCATAAACATATTGTGTTCTAATTTTGTTGTACATAATTATTTCAAGTTTATCTTTTCTAAGGTACACATTTTAATAACTTTCTGTACAAAGTGCGTTAGAAATCTCAAAAAGGTTGAAATTTTAAACAAAAAACGATTTTTTTCTTAGATTTAATTTTACATTAAAACAGGCAAAGCATTTGATTTTCTTTTCACTTTCTAAATCTTACAATGCCTGATAAACAACTTTGATTTATTTTGTACAGGTTATCAGAAATAACTACAAACTGAACTCGAGCAAATTATAAACATTTACTTGAGATCAGTTTAAATTTTCTTCACTAGAATACAGTTTCGTGTCCATCCATTTAACAGTTTACATACAGGAAAATAAAAACATTCACTTTGCCAGCATAAAAACTACCCCCATGGCAAGTAACAATAACAAAACAAACATTTTTAAAAATATTTCACAACTGCTCATAAATCATTTCCTTAATACAAAATTCCTGTGTTTATGTAAGATCCGTAAATGAAAATAACAAAGATAGACATAAGAGCATAATTTTAAACGAGAGAGACTTTCATTATCTAAAATAATGAGAATTACAACGGTCATAAAGACAATCAAAACGGTGTCTGCAGATATGGTTTGTTTCAAATAAAAATGAACTAAAAGGAAGACAATAGAGGTATAGATAATATAACACATTGTCTATAACACCAAGGTATTGATCCGTGCAGCAATGATGGCGAAAAGAGAGTTAACTATCTTTTCTTTATTATGACTGAAATGCTAGGGAGAAATGTGTCACGCTACACAATCAGGAAAGACAAATGTTTAACAAGGTACAAAACTACAATACTAGGGGGAAATGAATGTGTACACAAAGGGGGATAAGACAGGTATGTTATTACCTTCTGTGTATGTCCGTGTACTGGCTTTGATGTAGAAACGAACACAGGAAAATACTGACCAGTGTCATTAATCTCCAACATTTAAGCATACTTAGATAGGGAGTGGCCTGTATATAATGTAAAAAATAGATATATTTATGGCATCTGCTAAATACTGTTTTACGAAATGTCAATTTGAAAATGTTTTTGGTGTGTGTGTGTTTTCCCCCGTTTGTTAATGTCGGGAAAATGGTGAGGTCAAGCCCAGTTACTCGCCATGTTGACGGTAACTTCTCTCAGTGCTACGTTGATGTCCTTCACTTGATGCAGTAGATTAGTTTTCTTCAGTTTCAACAGATAAGGACTATATTTTGCGATGCAATTTCGACCAAACTACTTTGACAATGAACTTTGTATCCAAAGCTGATAAGATTGTCAGTTTTTTATTTGCATAATATAATCCTTAGTCATAAATATATCATACTATCAACTTCATACCTGGACAAAATTGACATTCCCATGTGATGACACTGCCAAGTAACAGGACACCGTGGACAGCACATAAAACAAGGAACCAGACATACTTCATTTTCTCTAATTTTACATAGTAACCGATTCACATACCTGACAAGGTGATCTCGTGGTTGCTAGGGACGGGTTAGTAACATAGTCGGCCATGTTGTAGGTGATGGGATATGGGTGTTCTTCCCGAAGGTATAGACTTTGTATCAGAGGTTTTATCGAGCAATATCAATATGCATTATCCTACATACCTACAGACTATCCTCTCCCTACCTCTCACATGAATATAATACCGATACCGTGATTACAGTGCGAAATATAAGGATAATTTCTATGTGACATACACATTCATTTTAACTAAAAAGGTATACCTAAAGTATACTCAAAGGATGGGCCAACATTTGCCTCCACTTCGATCTTTTTTTTGTTTTTTATTTTGCCATAACTAAAAACATGAAAAATAGCTGTATAAATTATCAGTTCTGATAGTCTCCGCCAGAAACCAGGTGGAGGGACGGGAGTATTCTAACAAAACTAGAAATAATTGTCACGGACAAATGTAATTTGGAAAATGAATTATGACGATGTTTGTGTATGTGGGTGTATAAAATCAGTTATTTTGATACTTAATGTGTTATATTGGTATACATGTGGTAATCGTAGTGATACTTTTAACTAGAAAAATAACAAAGATGCAAAATTTTCACAAAATTAAAAATATATCCAACATAACAGCGTCGTTATGTATAGTTGCAGTCTATGTTTTATACTTCTATAAATACATTCCATATATCTATACTGTCCACAGAATCAATGTTATGTACTATCAAAACCATGGTAAAATACGTTTTTTTGTATGCCAAACGGGTCCAATGCTTCCCATACTCACGAAGGTTTGATATCATTGTTTAATGTTATAGCAAAACCCGAATTTCGATTTTCGTATCCATGATTTAAAGTTATTTGCAGAAGTAATAACTCACGAATACGCATTCCACAAACGTGATCTCTCCTCTGAAGAAGTAATCAAAGCTGAGATTGCGTTATAAATGATGTGCATATAAACAAGGATAATAAAATAGGCATTATAATAAAACTGATAAACATGTTATTATCATTCTGTCTGTTCCCATTTATTAACAAAATATGAAGGAACATTACATAACTTTTTATCTTTATGCTCTAATCAAGTAATGCGATAAATGATAAACTTGCAATCTTGATAGCTCTGCAAAATATTTTGGCCGCAAAAGTAGCTGATGACCCCAACCTTTCTAGACGCAACAGGGTCAACTGGGAGAAGCTCGAGTTCCCAATACTTGATATGGAATATCAAGAGACAATAACACGTGGATCACATCAGCTGAAAGTAGCGCCAATGTACATAGCAAAGCACCTGACACCAGATGAGGACTTCGAAGTGTGGGCCATGCTGAAAATCCCTTCCGAGTTCAAATCCATTAAAGGTACAATTCGCAGACAATATATATATATATATATATATATATATGCCCCCCTCTTAAAAAAAACAAGAAAATACCAACATGTCAACATAACCAAAACCCAAGCAAAATATGTACAAAAAAATATATTTTCAAGGATACTCCTGAAAAAGTGCGGGGAGATTAAGATCAAGTGTTCAGGAAGATCAAAAAGCGTTTTCTGCTTCATCACAGACACCTGCCATGTAAATTTTGGTCAGGCCAAGTAAGTAATGTTACATTCTCAAATGAGAACACATGGTACAACAACGAAACCACAAACTAGCGGTCTTTAAACACGTTCAGCTTCGTATCTCACAAAGACATAGAACATCAATTAGAACACTATGACAACTGGAGAACTTCCCCGTCATTGTCATCGACGTGTTTTTTTGAAGCCCCGTGTTACGAGTTTGGAAATTCAGTTGACAACTTTCTTGCAGAAAATTCGTAAAACGGGAACCAGCCCTTGAATATGGTATCAACTGTGACATGTATACATCATAAGTTAGGGATGTATGGGTAGTGCTATCCAGAAATACAATTGAAGTCATCACGATGTTCATGTTGGTTTCGTTGTAAGGAAAGCAGGACTGTTTCCACAGGAAAGCATTTTTTGTAATTCAATGTATTGAGTACTGCAATAGCACAGCGGTCCTTAAACCTGTACTAAAAGGAAAAATCTTTCTTGAAAAAGAATAGTATTATTTGGTATCAAAATCCCGCTGGAAATATCGTGCACACAGTGATAATACAGTTTCATAGTTATTGTGTCATTTCAATGTTCCTGGAAGGATTATATTACAGCACCTTTAATGGGCACGCAGGTTCGAGTAAATCAGGTCCCTTTTTCATAGAATTATTTCTGAAATTACCTTTCGTGTGAAATTTTATGTTGTTTGCGAAATGGAATCGGTCAAGAGAAGGCAAGCAATGTTAGGACGGGGTTTGGATTATGACGTTGACATCTTATTGTGACGCCATAATTGCAAAAATCCTCGCTATTACGGTGCGATATTCCCTTGTCTCATCCATAGGTAGAGAGCACAAAACACTCTGGGAGCGAGTAAATTATCATAACTTGAGGACAATTACAGACAGAAAAATTGCCTAAACTATAAACCGCGAATTTTCAAAATTCTCTGTCACGTGATATATATATATTGTAAGCTAAAGACGGATCTTAAAATTATGTATAAATTATACAACAAAATATTTATGAAATTCATCTCAAAACATTTTATCAGATAAAAAGAATGTTATAAAACATATGATGGCCACCAGATGACGTCTGCTCTTTTTGAAACATTCCCGCCATTTTCTTTTCATTGAAAAAAATGTATCGAGATTATACAGCGATAAGTATGAGATAACGCGATGACTTTTGACGCTCTTAAGATGTATTTTCTACCGAGGTAGTCCTAACAATGGAAAATCTGACAGTCTCACATTTCACTCTCTTTCACGAGCTTTGAAGTCGAGACGAGTCTGTTTTATAATGGCGACAGAAACAAGAGCTGTGAAGAAAACACCATCTCGTTTGTTGTGGACCTTTTTACTCACATCCATTCATTCGCTCTGCCCGGCGACAAATTATGAGGCCAAAAATATCATGTTCTAAAGTGTATTTTCGTTGTTGCGAAATATAAAAATTTGTAATTTCCATTTACACTGAAGACATCGGTTTGTCATTGCACGTCGTTATCTGTATTCTTTATGTGTGTCACTTAAATCAAAATCTGCGATAAGACTCGAGTGTTTGTAACAATAGAAAACATTATAGGAAGACGCCATTTCTTACTGGTTTTATCGTCTGCAGAAAACGTGATACCTATAAACGGGTAACTTAGGAATTACTATAGGTTTATCTCGTCGAGGTATCGGTATTCCGGTAAAAATGAATATTTATGATAGTCTTTCAGAAAAGCTGTACATTTACTCCCCGTTCCCAATATCTGAGCATAATATTGATATGAAGCTGACAGGTCAGTGGGACTTTCTCATCATTATATACCGTGATAGTTAACGCACCTGTCTAATACAATCATTCATAAAACAAGTATTAGTGTATAGGAGGAGTTATTCCCGAATCCATGTGTACAGTTCAAATAAATAACTACCAGCCGACAGATAATACTCCATATTATCGTCAATGTTAGATGTACAGTTAATACTAAGTATTAGGATTAAACACTTAACTGTACAAAAATTTCCTGGGGTGGCCGATGAAATCCGTGTTGTCACCACGTGTGGTACCAGGTGGAGACCACTAAATGATCGATGAAAATCACCGCTGTGACATAGGATATCAATAAATTAACACTTAGTCATGTATCAGGCAACAGCTTACTTTGTCAATTTAATACATAGATATATATATATGACTTCTCTGACTTGCCAGTCGTACAAGATTCAATTAACTGATAGCGCTATTTAACAACACATATGTGTCAGTATGTACCGACTCACCCAACAGTCACAAAACAGTGTCCCGTTCATCTCTTCCTACCCTGATCATAATCCATGTTTTTGTTGGAATGAATAATGACGATATTTTGTCAAAACATTATTGTTAAGTCAACTGAATATTTCTTGTAACACGGGAATACCAGCTGTATCCCCTGTGTACACCCTGTTGTATCACCTGTGAACACCCTAATGTATCACCTGTGTACACCTAATTGTATCACCTGTGTACACCCTGTTGTGTCCCCTGTTGTATCACCTGTGTACACCTTGTTGTATCACCTGTGTACACCCTGTTTTATCACTTGAGTGCCTGTTGTTGTAACACCAGATTCCCTGTTGTCTCACCCGAGTGTCTGTTTATCATCAGTATCTGATCAAATGACTGATGAACTTCTGTTATTTGGGTAAATGTTGCTCCCTTAATTGAGTATTGAGTTGTTGCATTGAGTTTGTACATTTCATACCAGCTTGATAATATTGTATACTACATCAACTCAATATATTTTTTAACTGAACACATTTTGAGTTAATGACCTCGGACGTAATACGTGTTTTATTAGTCTTACAATTACAAAACTTCGCGCTCTATTTTTCTAATTCCGATCTGGTTTAATTGGTTTGTTTTACAGTCCAGCAGTTCGCTTTTAGAAATGAAAGAGAAAGAAATGGTAAAGGGAACAAAAAATCACGAGCATTTTGGAGTTACTTTGACCTTGTTCGAAGAGAAGAATTCGTCTTTGTGACCACAGCAGCTAGCCACACCTCGAAAGACAGGGGACGCGGAGATACAGGGACAGATAAAACACCACGTATAATAGGCAGCGTTTTATGTCTAGTTTTCTATTCCCTTATCGACAATTTCAATGGCTTTTACATCGCTACTTAAATAAATTTACATAAGTTTGCGCGATAAAATATTCGATGAAAAAAGGCGATAAGGTTGTTGACAGAGCTTCCAAATTGAATGTGCTTTGTGGCTAGTATTCGGTCACCCCAAGGTAATGACGGCAATTTGCAAGACAATTTAGTCTTACGACCAGAGCGTCTATCCAGGAGTCGGTAAAACTCGTCCACCGCCTACAGTTTCCATGTGAAGAGTCTACCTGGGTCTCAGGTATAACACTCAAAAATGAAATCAATATGAATTTGTAACAACATCGGTCAGCACTCATGTGTACAAAAAACGCAGCATTGCTCCATAAAATACAGAAGATACAGTAAAACACGTGATACTCAATATTCCCACCAGTTTTATCGCTTAATATCTAAACATTTGTATTTTATGGGAACTGATAAAACAAGTTATTGTGTCTGATAAAAATCCAGTATCACTGAATCACTTCATATAAAACTCTCCTGCTACAAGCTAGACCGCAAATAGATGTTTAATAAAAATGTCATTTACACACCGAGTAACCACGTCTTATTAAGGTCCACTGCTCCAATTCATACACAAGTCCAATGCTCCACTTCATACACAGGTCCACTGCTCCACTTCATACAAAAGTCCACTGCTCCACTCCATGCAAACGTCCACTGCTCCACTTCATACACAAGTCCTCTGCTCCACTTCATACCCAAGTCCACTGCTCCACTTCATAAACAGGTCCACTGCTCCACTTCATACACAAGTCCAATGCTCCACTTCATACACAAGTCCACTGCTCCATTTCATACACAGGTCCACTGCTCCACTTCATACACAAGTCCAATGCTCCACTTCATACAAAAGTCCTCTGCTCCATTTCATACCCAAGTCCACTGCTCCACTTCATACACAGGTCCACTGCTCCACTTCATACACAAGTCCAATACTCCACTTCATACACAGGTCCACTGCTCCATTTCATACAAAAGTCCACTGCTCCACTCCATATAAACGTCCACTGCTCCACTTCATACACAAGTCCTCTGCTCCACTTCATACACAAGTCCTCTGCTCCACTTCATACACAGGTCCACTGCTCCACTTCATACACAAGTCCAATGCTCCACTTCGTACAAACGTCATCTGCTCCATTTCATACACAAGTTCTCTGCTCCACTTCATACACAAGTCCACTGCTCCATTTCATACAAAAGTCCACTGCTCCACTCCATACACAAGTCCTCTGCTACATTTCATACACAAGTCCACTGCTCCACTTCATACACAGATCCACTGCTCCATTTCATACAAAAGTCCAATGCTCCACTTCATACACAGGTCCACTGCTCCATTTCATACAAAAGTCCACTGCTCCACTCCATACACAAGTCCTCTGCTACATTTCATACACAAGTCCACTGCTCCACTTCATACACAAGTCCTCTGCTACATTTCATACAAAAGTCCACTGCTCCACTCCATACACAAGTCCTCTGCTACATTTCATACACAAGTCCACTGCTCCACTCCATACACAAGTCCTCTGCTACATTTCATACAAAAGTCCACTGCTCCACTCCATACACAAGTCCTCTGCTACATTTCATACACAAGTCCACTGCTCCACTTCATACACAGGTCCACTGCTCCATTTCATACAAAAGTCCACTGCTCCACTCCATACACAAGTCCTCTGCTACATTTCATACACAAGTCCACTGCTCCACTCCATACACAAGTCCTCTGCTACATTTCATACAAAAGTCCACTGCTCCACTCCATACACAAGTCCTCTGCTACATTTCATACACAAGTCCACTGCTCCACTTCATAAAAATATCCACTGCACTACTTCATACACAAGTCCACTGCTCCATTTCATACAAAAGTCATCTGCTCCATTTCATACAAAAGTCATCTGCTCCATTTCATACAAAAGTCATCTGCTCCATTTCATGCAAAAGTCATCTGCTCCACTTCGTACCAAGGTCATCTGCTCCATTTCATACACAAGTCCTCTGCTCCACTTCAAACACAAGTCCACTGCTCCACTTCATATAAAAGTCCACCGGTCCACTTCATACACAGGTCCACTGCTCCATTTCATACACAAGTCCACTGCTCCACTCCATACAAACGTCCTCTGCTCCACTTCATACACAAGTCCTCTGCTCCACTTCATACCCAAGTCCACTGCTCCACTTCATAAACAGGTCCACTGCTCCACTTCATACACAAGTCCAATGCTCCACTTCATACACAAGTCCACTGCTCCATTTCATACACAGGTCCACTGCTCCACTTCATACACAAGTCCAATGCTCCACTTCATACAAAAGTCCTCTGCTCCATTTCATACCCAAGTCCACTGCTCCACTTCATACACAGGTCCACTGCTCCACTTCATACACAAGTCCAATACTCCACTTCATACACAGGTCCACTGCTCCATTTCATACAAAAGTCCACTGCTCCACTCCATATAAACGTCCACTGCTCCACTTCATACACAAGTCCTCTGCTCCACTTCATACACAAGTCCTCTGCTCCACTTCATACACAGGTCCACTGCTCCACTTCATACACAAGTCCAATGCTCCACTTCGTACAAACGTCATCTGCTCCATTTCATACACAAGTTCTCTGCTCCACTTCATACACAAGTCCACTGCTCCATTTCATACAAAAGTCCACTGCTCCACTCCATACACAAGTCCTCTGCTACATTTCATACACAAGTCCACTGCTCCACTTCATACACAGATCCACTGCTCCATTTCATACAAAAGTCCAATGCTCCACTTCATACACAGGTCCACTGCTCCATTTCATACAAAAGTCCACTGCTCCACTCCATACACAAGTCCTCTGCTACATTTCATACACAAGTCCACTGCTCCACTTCATACACAAGTCCTCTGCTACATTTCATACAAAAGTCCACTGCTCCACTCCATACACAAGTCCTCTGCTACATTTCATACACAAGTCCACTGCTCCACTCCATACACAAGTCCTCTGCTACATTTCATACAAAAGTCCACTGCTCCACTCCATACACAAGTCCTCTGCTACATTTCATACACAAGTCCACTGCTCCACTTCATACACAGGTCCACTGCTCCATTTCATACAAAAGTCCACTGCTCCACTCCATACACAAGTCCTCTGCTACATTTCATACACAAGTCCACTGCTCCACTCCATACACAAGTCCTCTGCTACATTTCATACAAAAGTCCACTGCTCCACTCCATACACAAGTCCTCTGCTACATTTCATACACAAGTCCACTGCTCCACTTCATAAAAATATCCACTGCACTACTTCATACACAAGTCCACTGCTCCATTTCATACAAAAGTCATCTGCTCCATTTCATACAAAAGTCATCTGCTCCATTTCATACAAAAGTCATCTGCTCCATTTCATGCAAAAGTCATCTGCTCCACTTCGTACCAAGGTCATCTGCTCCATTTCATACACAAGTCCTCTGCTCCACTTCATACACAAGTCCACTGCTCCACTTCATATAAAAGTCCACCGGTCCACTTCATACACAGGTCCACTGCTCCATTTCATACAAAAGTCCACTGCTCCACTCCATACAAACGTCCTCTGCTCCACTTCATACACATGTCCTCTGCTCCATTTCATACACAGGTCCACTGCTCCACTTCATACACAAGTCCAATGCTCCACTTCATACAAAAGTCCTCTGCTCCATTTCATACCCAAGTTCACTGCTCCACTTCATACACAGGTCCACTGCTCTACTTCATACACAAGTCCAATGCTCCACTTCATACACAGGTCCACTGCTCCATTTCATACAAAAGTCCACTGCTCCACTCCATACACAAGTCCTCTGCTACATTTCATACACAAGTCCACTGCTCCACTTCATACAAAAGTCCTCTGCTACATTTCATACACAAGTCCACTGCTCCACTTCATAAAAATATCCACTGCACTACTTCATACAAAAGTCCACTGCTCCACTCCATACAAACGTCCACTGCTCCACTTCATACACAAGTCCTCTGCTCCACTTCATACAAAAGTCCTCTGCTCCATTTCATACCCAAGTCCACTGCTCCACTTCATACACAAGTCCAATGCTCCACTTCATACACAGGTCCACTGCTCCACTTCATACAAAAGTCCAGTGCTCCACTCCATACAAACGCCCACTGCTCCACTTCATACAGAAGTCCTCCGCTCCACTTCATACACAAGTCCAATGCTCCACTTCATACACAGGTCCACTGCTCCACTTCATACAAAAGTCCACTGCTCCACTCCATATAAACGTCCACTGCTCCACTTCATACACAAGTCCTCTGCTCCACCTCATACCCAAGTCCATTGCTCCACTTCATACAGAGGTCCACTGCTCCACTTCATACACAAGTCCAATGCTCCACTTCATACACAAGTCCACTGATCCATTTCATACACAGGTCCACTGCTCCACTTCACACACAAGTCCAATGCTTCACTTCATACACAGGTCCACTGTTCCATTTCATACAAAAGTCATCTGCTCCATTTCATACAAAAGTCATCTGCTCCATTTCATGCAAAAGTCATCTGCTCCACTTCGTACCAAGGTCATCTGCTCCATTTCATACACAAGTCCTCTGCTCCACTTCATACACAAGTCCACTGCTCCACTTCATATAAAAGTCCACTACCACTGCTCCACTTCATATAAAAGTCCACTGCTCCACTTCATACACAAGTCCTCTGCTCCACTTCATACACAAGTCCTCTGCTCCATTTCATACACAGGTCCACTGCTCCACTTCATACACAAGTCCAATGCTCCACTTCATACAAAAGTCCTCTGCTCCATTTCATACACAAGTCCACTGCTCCACTTCATACACAGGTCCACTGCTCCACTTCATACACAAGTCCACTGCTCCACTTCATATGAAAGTCCACCGGTCCACTTCATACACAGGTCCACTGCTCCATTTCATACAAACGTCCTCTGCTCCACTTCATACACA